ACAGCAGCCCCCAAATTTCTCAGGATGTTTCTGTTTTCCAGAGCTCCCTCTGCTCTGTTTAGCTGTCTCCTCTCCTGGGTACAGCACTGCCCAATTTATCATCATCTGCACATTCATATATGATAGCCTCCCCCTGTAAAGATAAAGAAAATGGAAAGAGCACCAAGCTCTGTAATCCTGAACTGGATGCTCTCCATCTGGTTAGTTAAGGAGTAATACCCATTAGCTTCTTTGCAACATTTACATCAGAGAGAGAACTGATGTTTTTCATAGCAAAAGCACATTCATTTAGCTTATCCCAAATTCAGTTTTGTCACATTTGTTGTGCTCTCTAAGGACTTAATTTTCTCTAAGACAAAGAGAGAGAATCCCAAGAGAGTTAAAGAGCATTCCCTGCATGCTAAGCATAAGCCTGGATACCACCATCATGTAACTATTTGATGGAGGCTTTCCAAACACAATGGGACAAATTTATTCCTCAGCTTGACTTATCTGAGTTCAAGGTCTTTTCTGTACTTGGTCTCCTGCATCTATATCAGGCAGAGTTTGGCCCTAATATTTGGATATATGAAAATGCAATTTGACCCTAGCTAAGGGCAGGGGCAGAAAAAGCATTAGAAATCCTGGCTAGACAAATAATAAAAATGCAGCTAACCAGAGTCTGCAGCTTCACCACCACTTCAGGTGAAAATATTCTACATAATATTGTCATCTGTGTGTGGAACACATCCCTGATGTACACGCTTGGAGGTGCTGAGTGATTTCCCTCTGTCTGTGTCTCCGTGCGTCAGGGTTGTGTGTGTGTGGCAGGTCATTCAACTCCCTTATCTTCTCACCCACTCACTTTTTTGTGAACACTGAGATTTTCCACGTTTGGACAGCTCACCAGGGAATAACAAGCTGTCTGCAACTGCAAGCAGGGCCAGTGGTCAGCATACCAGTGTGACCTGTTCAGAAATTACAGTGAACTCAGGAGCAGCACAGAGATGAGAAGCATTGGATGTCTGCTTCCTAGGACAGGAGCTGTTAACACAGAGCTCTGCCTTCTCCTGCAAGGTTTGAGCACTGGAGACAGTCACTCCCCCTGATACTGGTTCAGCACAAGACTTTGAATCCAAGGAACTAGAAGGGAACATGTCAGGTTTGCTTGGTCTTTTTTTGTTAAAGCCTATTTAGTCCAGATCCATGTGCAGATCAGAGTTAACTAACTTGACTAAAGAACTGGCCTATTTCAGGCAGAAACTTAACCACAAGCACATGCATGCGTATATGAAGCCAGAGGTGCTTGGACAAAATTCTTAACAGGTCATTACTTGCCTGTTGTATACACATACAAAGAAGCCAATTCAGGCTGAGGAAGGCTTCAGCATCAGTCTATGTCACAAAGCTATGAAAAACCTCTGCAATTCAAAACATTGCACCCATGCTGGACAGTGCATTTCTAATTTCATTCATCTTTTAACGTTGTAAGCCATGTGCCCCCTGAATGTGCTTCCGGACCAGGTCCTGGCAAGAAAGGAGCACTGTATATGTAAGTTGAAAAGTCTGCTTCTTCCTTTTGGGCACTGACTATGGCTGCAGGTTTTGCCAGCAATAACAAGATGTTTGTCCTTAGAAAAGCACAAAAAAAAAAAAAACCAAGCAAGAGAACCTCTGGTTCTTCCAGGTGCACCTGCTGTAGAAGTCTAGCAAAACAAGAGAGATTTTGTTCAGGTTACCAAGACAGTGTTATCCTGGGGCACAGGAGAGAAGGGCTGCAGTCTATAGAAACAAATGTTCTTGTGCTCTGGAACCAGTGCTGTGTCACTGTCACCAAGTCTAAGAGGCACTAACTACATACAAAAAAGGACACCAGTTTGCAAGTTGCAACCCCTGAGCTCTGTTCACAGACTGCCACTAACACAGTGACCTTGAACAAGGAGTTTGCCCTTCCTGTACCCCAGAGATCACAATCTGCAAGATAAAGATGACAGCATCTACTGCTAACAGGGGGCTGGAGATCCTTAAGTGAAGGTAGAGCTGTGTAGCAAAGCAGCAACCTCCAGCACAGAGCTGAAAGCATCCTTCCTAAGCACGTACCTATGTGAGTGGCCAGTTTTGCAGTGTAGGGACCACTTGGGTCCGGCTGCAGCCTGGCAGGTGTCAGCACAGGGGGAAAGACCTTGGCCCACATACCCTCCACGGCAGCTCTCTGTTGTGCCACACACTGGCCTGAACCTGGTATGAGGTGACACAGCTGGAGGAAGGCAGGCCACAAGCAATTCTGGATGCTCCACTACACAGGGCTGCCACTTCTCATGTGCCCTGTACCTAAAAGGAGATGGTTACCTCCCCATTCAGTAGCTCAGAGATGATGGACTTGTTGCATGTTTTCCACACAGCCCTATGTCTGGTGTGTAAGCCTCTTCAAAACATCTTGGGCCCCAGACTTCCAGTTCATTGGGACACCTGATTAACTATCAGATACACACTTCTGTATCCAACTGAAAAAATCACACATATCAATTGGGCAAAAATAAAATGGCTTTAACTTTGGGGTTTTGCCCCCTCGCGGGAAAGTGCACTTCTACCACACAAAGGAGCCTTCCTCAGGGACCCTCTCCACGCGCCCCTGGGACCTGCCAAGAGGTCAACGCAGCGAGGGAGAGCAGAACCAGTGTCATAATCAAGCTCTCCACTTTATTTTAGAAACATCCTGCAGAGATGGCGACCTCCTGTCACCTTCCTTGTGGGAAAAGTTAGCATGAAGTGTCGAGCTCAGCTATTTATATCACTGCTGATAGTCTTGCCTGTCTTCTGAAAAGGGGAAAATTTTTTTCCTAAGAATCCCTGGGGAAATAAACTCATATAAAGAAGATGATCACACAGGAATAGCCCTCCTGGCTCTCTGTAGTGAATTTCCTCGATGTTTGTCAACACGCCAGTGAGTCCCACCACAGGGAGCGCACCTGCCGGAGCAAGCAGCAATGATGAAAAATGCTCACATGTTTTCTTCTTTCAGAGCATGTCGCATCACCAAGAGGATAGGAAAAGCAGCTCCAAGAGCAGCAGATGCTTCCCCTCCCACAGAAAAAGGTAGTGCAGAAAGGGACAGGTGGAGAGCAGCCCATGGCTGGTACACCAGCGGGTGCCGACCCCACTGGGGTATTTTTATCATGGAATTTGGCAGTCACAAGGCAGGTTGGAGCTAAGCAGACCGCACGCCTGGCCTGTGGTGTGATGCTCTGGTTTCCACAGCTTTAGTAGCATTCCAGGTGATGATTAAGCCAGGCCAGCCACGTCGATGGATTAGTGCCAGGCTGCACTGGGCTTTGTCACATACGCATTTCCCAGTGCCAAGATCCCGTGACTATGCACACCCAGCAGAAAGCGGTCAAGCCACAAGCATGGCCAGGCAGTGGCACAGCCCACAGCTCAGCATGAATATGCATGACTCTGGTGTTAAGACAGTGCTGAGACCCCACAAATATACCCAGAGGTGTTTTTCGCCAAGTCACACCAGAGTGATACAAGATTTGTCCAACTGAGTCCAAAGAAGGAACATAAAGGGCCAGAGATGTGCACACACTGAGAGGTCAAAGCATGTGAGGACAACAGTAGTCTGGGAATGAGGAAAGGGAACTATGTGGAAAATTCCCAAGACTAGTAAAGCCATGAGGAGAAAGGCTAGGTCAAAGGCAGGAAAAGCTGTCAGGAGATGACAACAATCTTTCTTTGCTTGTTGGCAGCAGAGAGATGCTCTCTTCTGTTGCTCTAGAAGGCCCTTGATCTGGCATTGCAAGAAGAGATGGCTAATAACTAAATATGTGCCAGCCAAAAATGACTGCTCTAGGAGGGTAAGTCCTTCTTCTGGTTTCCAAAACCTGCTCTCCTGTGGCCACCAACCCCCTTGTGGCAGCCACCTCTGCTCTCTATCGAGCTGTTGCAGGATGATCGGGAGGCATCTTTGGGCAGCCCCTCCTTTAAACAGCTTGTGCAGGAAAACAGCCAGCAGCAAAGGGCGGAGGAAATGGCCTGTTATCTGGCTGTATGTGGCTGCTAGCCTTGGATCCTTCTGATTTACGTCCTCTTGGAAAACATTGTGTATGTTTGAGGCAGGCGATTTACCATTATTCTCAGATCCATTAACATTTTTTATTTCCAGACTCCTTGCACTTACATTTTCTTTACTTTGTGTTCCATACACACTGGTTTTTACAATTTGCAAGTGCCTTGGTTTAGTAGCCTTTCCTAGGGAAAACAAGCCATAGCAAGGCCCCAAACTACCTGACCATGGTAGAACTAATGGAAAGAGGGCTCAGTTTGTGACTGCACGTGCCCATGTGTCGTTTAAGCCCAGCCACGCAGCCGCTTGCTCACTACCCCCACCCCCCTTTCTCCCCCACTCCTGGAGGGATGGGGAGGAGAATTGAAAGAATGTAACTCCCACAGGTTAAGAACAGCCCAGTAACTAAGGTATAACACAAACCACTGCTGCTGCCACCAATAATAATAATGATAAGGGAAATAACAAGGGAAGAGAATGCAACCGCTCACCACCCAGCCTGACCCAAGCAGTGAGCTAACCCTTCGGGCAACTGCCCCCAGTTTATATACCGGGCATGATGTGCTGTGGTATGGAATACCTCTTTGGTTAGTTTGGGTCAGGTGTCCTGTCTCTGCTTCCTCGCAGCTTCCCCTCCTCTCTGGCAAGCACAAGACTCAGAAAGCCCTTGGTCAGAGTAAATATTACTATGCAACAACTAAAAACATCGGTGTTATCAGCACTGTTCCCAGGCTGAAAGTCAAAAACACAGCACTGCACCAGCTACTAAGAAGGAGAAAAATGACTGTTACTGCTGAACCCAGGACACCATGGCAGGAAGGAAAACTTGGCCTGGGCACAGTCAGGGAGAATTGTGTTAATTTTTACCCTAAGAAGCAAGGTGAATCAAGAAAAGGCAGCCATTGACTAACAACAGCAGGAGCAAGAGGGGCACCTGCAAACAACATAAACTCACCTGGGAAAATGAGGACACTCACCACTTGTCATGCTGTACTGGAAGTAGTATTCCACACACACAGTTGCACTACAGCATATCGATGTCGGACACATCTGTACATCAAACTGTAGGTGGATGGTGCCTTGTCTGTGCTCTAGGTCTGGGGGGGGGGAAACAAAAACAAACTTATTTCAGTGCAACAGCCTGTAAATATTCCCCATCACTGATTTATCTGCTTTCATTGAATCGTCTGGTACTCACAGGATGAAGCCATACGCTAATTTCTCCAGAATGCAGTAACTGCACTAAAGCCATTTCAGAAGGTAAGACAGCCCCACACACTTGTCAGTGCAGACAGGAGGAGTCAGAAAAGACTAGCTGATTTTCTGTGTAACTGCTCCTCCAGTTCTGGGCTACCAGCATAATGAAAGCTTCTGCATATGCCAAGCAGCCACCAGGATGTACATCAGCACAACTGCAGTATGTCTGCTGAAGCAGGAGAGAGCCAAAGCACATCCTTTGCTCCCTCATACGCCCCTTCTCACTCCTCACACAGCTTCTGACAGGCAATAAGGGCAGCAAATGGTCACCTCCTTGTCTCTTCACCTGAGCAATCCTCACCTTTCCTCACCTCAGCAGCACCAGGATTTTAAGGATTCAACTTCTGACCTTCTGCCATCCACCCTTGCAGATGGACATCACACAGAAACAATAGATTGCATAAATCATTTTGTGTGCTGCTACATTGAATTATATCACTTACATGAGCAGAGGAGGGGATATTGCTCCTCCAACAAGGGTATCTCTCTGTCCTCCAGCTTTTGCTCACAGCAAATCTACACAATATTGATGCAGTAAATTTTTAGCTTTTAACAGTGTCTGCTCTCCACAGACATTCTTTGCACAGTAAAAATAGTTGGCTCTTAAAGACAACACAAGGGACAATAAAGAAGGAGAGTTAGCAACTTGGTCCCTACAGCTTTGGGATTTACAGAGTCCAGTGCTTTTATTATTTCATTATGGTGATGATTAATTTTCTCATTTACTTATTAAAATGATATTTTCAAAAAGAGTGACTGTGGGAGAATATTATCTGCAAGGTATATATATACTGCACACTTTATAGCACCTTGCCCTTAACTCATGCACAAGGGAGAGCTTTGCAGTGCCCTGGGAAGGTAACTATGGCGAGTATAACTGGATCAGATGATTGCTCAAACACTGTCACAGAGCTCCAAAAAAAAAAAAAAAAAAAAGATTAAACTCATCATTCTCTTTTTATCCAAGAGGTTAAGTGACTTGGCCAGAAACAGTCCGTCAGACACAGAAACAAGATTGAAACGGGCTCTCCTACATCTTCATTTTGCAATCTTACTACCAGCCCACCAAACCTTTCCTCTTATCAGACCACCTACCACAGCACTTCCCAGGAGCCGCTGGTCCTTGGGAGGCACTTCAAGGGAGGCTTTTTTCTTTGCCTTTGTAATTTGAACTGTGAATTTCATCTCAGAGCTTAAGAGAAGGGAGCGAGATCCGCCACTTCCATTGTGCAGCAGTTCCTTCTCAGAGAGGTGTGACAGGGAGGCAGCAGGTTAGGTTTATAGGACTGGCACAGCTCACCAATATCTTTACACTCCCAGAAACATTGGCAATGAATTGTAAATGAAACACTTGCAACTGGTGACACTGCAAAATCAGAGCAAAAGCTATGGCAAAGGTGGGCAACAGAAAGGTTTTCTCTGCATTTCTTTCGGTGGTGGCATTGAGCCCAGAGCTGCAGGCACTGTATGTCCCAGGTGTCAGTGCAGGTGTCACACAAAGGAAACATATAAAAGTGCCAAGACACCACTCAGACCAAGCTGCAGATTCCAGTCTTCCCTCCCAGGGGATCAGGCCATTAAGGAATCCCGACAGCAGTTTGCAGACAGATGATTTAACTACACAGTCCACAGGGGATGCAATAGGCAGACCACAGTGGAAGAGCTTTCTGAACCAAGAATAAATCTGGCTCATCCTCATAGTTTTGGCAGCCCATTGAACAGATTGTAGTTGGGTTATGTAAAAAAGATCACTCTTTGTTTCAGTAGCTGAATTCAAATAACACAAAAAAACAAACCCAAAGCATTGTTTTCAGTGGATGCGAAACAAAGTTTTCATCAAACCACACCTTACTCATTTCATGTCAAATGCAAACATTTCCATTGACAGAAAATGAATAATTTCACTCCACACATTCACAGCTGAGCATTTCCTAACCCTCCTTAGAACCAGTCTTCTTTTCTCCTACAGAGGCTGTGTCCGATTCTCCCTTCAAGATCTCTCATCCCTCCTGGTGAGCAGAAATGGGGGACTGGAGTTTCCTGGGAGAGTTCCTCGAGGAGGTTCACAAACACTCCACAGTGGTAGGGAAGGTCTGGTTGACTGTGCTCTTCATCTTCCGGATGCTGGTGCTGGGCACAGCAGCGGAGTCTTCCTGGGGGGATGAGCAGTCTGACTTCATGTGCGACACCCAGCAGCCTGGCTGCGAGAACGTCTGCTATGACAAGGCTTTCCCCATCTCCCATGTCAGGTTTTGGGTCCTCCAGATCATCTTTGTCTCCACCCCATCTCTGGTGTACATGGGCCACGCGATGCACACAGTGCGCATGGAGGAGAAAAGGAAGATGAAGGAAGCAGAACTAGAGGCCCGTGAGATGAAGAACAACAGTGACACATACTACCAGCAGAAGTCCGCTGTGGTGGAGAAGGCTGAGCTGTCTTGCTGGGATGAATCAGGAGGCAAAATCATACTCAGGGGCAGTCTGCTGAACACCTATGTCTACAGCATTTTGATTCGCACAGCCATGGAAGTGGCCTTCATTGTGGGACAGTACATCTTGTATGGCATCTTCCTGGAGACCCTGTATATCTGCCAGCGGGCACCTTGCCCCCACCCTGTCAATTGCTACGTTTCCCGCCCCACAGAGAAGAATGTGTTCATTGTCTTTATGCTGGCTGTGGCAGTGCTCTCCCTATTCCTCAGTCTGGCCGAGCTGTACCACTTGGGCTGGAAGAAAGCCAAAGAGAGGTGCTCCCGATCCTACAAGCCCAGCCCCAGCACAGCCCCTGGCAGACTGGAGTCTGCCCCGCAAGCAGAGAGGGCCCAGATGTACACTCCTCCACCAGATTTTAACCAGTGCTTGTCAAGTCCCAACGGGAAGTTCATCAGCCCCTTCAACAACAAGATGGCCTCCCAGCAGAACACCGCCAACTTTGCCACCGAGAGGGTCCATGGCCAAGATGATGCTGCTGGTGAAGGGCCCTTCATTAAGTCCAGCTACTCAGAGAGCCCAGAGGTGGCCAACGAGTGCGCAGCACCCGCCTTCCCTGAGAACTACTTCAATGAGAAACGCCGGTTCAGCAAGACCAGCCGTGCCAGCAGCAAGGCAAGGTCAGATGACTTGTCTGTGTGACCTGGCTCCAGGAGGGATGAGAAGAAGGAGCAGTCTCAGCACTTAGCGGACCTTCTGCAAAGGGGACTCCAGACTTTTGCCACTAACCTCGCTCTATTTTAACACCCTCTTGCTCCTTTCCAGGGAACATCATTGTTGTTGCAGACAGCACCTGTCACAGCTTAAGGCAGGGACAGCCACTGGGAGACACACACACTGAAGAGAAGCACCAGTCTCAAGATGTGAAGCTCTAAGCCATATTTTCATCATGGGATGCACAGGGATCTGAGATTCACCATCCTCAGCCTAGTAGAGCACAGGCCAGCAGACTCCTGAGGCTGACCAGCAGGTATCTGCTGTGACACTGTATTCAACAGACTGAACCTCAACCCCCTTCCATCTTTGTGTCTATTCAACATTTGCCACGTCAGCTTGGCAGTTATACAGAGCTGAAGCTTCCCTCACCTGCAGGAAGCAGAAACACACTGGTAGGCCTTCTGAAAGACCTTCTCATCTGCTTTGTTCTCAGCCTTTCTAACCCTCCCTTTCTCCTCCTGAGCCCAGATATTTTATAACAGTTTACCTATACAATAAAACCTACTTGAATTTTTTGACATTGTGTATATAACAATTCCCCATAAATATGGACGTCCATGGCCCCCACGCACAGCTGCCTCGTGTCTAACATAGGAATCCCTTCCTCACTCCTAAGTCAGCACAGCAGACTGGCCCCGGGGATATCGTTTAGATGACTGGTTGATGAAGACCAGGGAATTTTCCCAAGACACTTATGCCATCAATTCTAAGCAAGACATCCATTAACAGAAATAGAAAATCTCCTGTGAGAACAAATACCTCACTAGTATAAAAGAGCAATTATCATGTGGAAACAAAGAGAGTTTTTCCCTTTTAAAACTCATCTTTCAAGCAACTTGAACACTGCTGAAAGGGTGCTGCCAGCTGCCAACTTGAGAGAAAAACATCCTGTGATTATATGCATAACAGGTACAGCCTGTGTCTTCTCCTCACTAACTCACCAACACACTTCAGCATCTTTTGCCAGAAGCAAGAGTCCTCTCCAGGTCCTGCACATCACATCTTGGATGCTCTCTCAAGCCTGCCAGCCAGTGCAAGCCAAGACGCTTGTCCTTGCAGCAAGCCCCTGTTCTGCCATCAAGTCACCTTCATCTCCACTCCATCCCATAGTGTATATCGTGTAAGAAACCACCCATGGACCAGCTTTTCCCATCTCTGTAACTACTCAGAGCAGCCACTGGGACCCAACACTGCACAGTGGGTCTGGTGGGTGAGATCTGTAGGCAGCTCCCACTCCAGATACCCCAGTGCAGAGCTGACATCCCTCTTTTAAAGAGATTTGTTAAACAGAGCTAAGCTGGTCCCTGTTGTTTACCCTGCACTGCCATTTCAGAGATGGGACACAGCTTCCCAACACTGGACTGTATGAGTGAATGGCCAGGACCAGGTTATGAGGGGACTGAGCCATTCCCTCTCTTAAGGCCACCGAAAGGGATTGTGAATCCTTGCTCCTGACACATAATTAGCCTTGGTACAGTTCCCCGTACATATACATACACATTCACACACAGAGGGTGGGAAACCATTTCTTTTGTTTTTAAGGTGTTTTATATATGTGTATTTTTTAATTCTGGAAAGACCTGCGTGCTCTCCTTAACATAAGACTTTAGTCAATCATGCCTAAGTTTCTCCT